CCCCAGCCAGTATCGCTGGCTGGGGAATTCTGGGAGTTGAAGTCCATACAGCTTAAAGTTGCCAAGGATGAGAAACACTGCCCTAGAGTTTTAGTTTAAAAGAAAAAAAAGTGGGCAGAAGGATTGTGGTATATTTTCTAGTACTTCCTTTTTAAATGCAAAGGCAAAATAAATTTATTGAAGCTTAGACATACACCAAACCAAAAACTAATGAACATTTGAAAGGGTAATGAAAGTGATAATTTCTGTAAATAATATAAATAACAGATCAGACAAAGTTTGATGTGGCCCTAGTATGCATTCTGGGACTTGCACCTTTTTCCTCAGTATTTTTCTCTCTATATTACTGTCTGGTATATTTGATGTAGTGCTTTGATTCATTCTGATGTAGTGAAAGACAGAGTCCAAAATATATTACACGCTTGGTTTTTTTAACAATATTTATGGTATCTTCTATTTCCAGTGTTAACCTTTTCCCTGCCTGCTTCTTCTAAACAGGCAAAAAGGTAGAAATACTACATTCCTTAGAATTCAGCAACTTGTGTCATCTTTGTAGCAAGAAAAAAAAAATGTTGTACAATGTTTACAGAACATTCAGTGAACGCATCATCATTATATAAACGAAGTCACAAAGTCACTCTTTGCATGTTAGAAATTCCAGCATTAAGCTTGTACCGCCAGTTGACCAAGAGTTGTCTCCAATCCTTTTCTTGCAATATGGTCTACTCGTTCCAGAAGCTCAGAAAACTGGGATTGAGACTTGACCCCATAGCAGAGGAGCTCAGGAGCCAACAGATTTCATGGGTGGTGGAATCCCCCCAATGCCAAAAACAAACGAATCCCAAACCCCACCTCCCTTGTTTCTCCAACACAGAGAGCAATGGACAATGGACTTTGTTTCCATCACCTGAACTTTGGGGACAGATTTGTCTCTCCCTGCCTTGCTCATAAAAGTCGAAATGGAAGTGCTGCAACCCCCATGATAACATCCACCTTCTAAACTGGAACATTCTCTCCTTCTCTCTTTCAGATTTGATTTCGTGCTTGCAGAAAGGTATCCATTATAACACAGAACAAATCAGGTGAGAATTTCTGATACAAATCTGTCCTGGTTGCTTCTAAGTAAGGGAAGATCTCTTACTGCCACTCACCGTCAGTGCAAAGGTGATTCCATATTAAATGTGCCTTTCATCATAGATTTAGAATTGTTAGTTGTTTCTTGACTATTTTAGATGTCTTTCACTGGATACCTATTTGTTTTCATTTTAAAGTACTGGTTGTGATAATCAAAGTGCTGAATAATCTAAAATGGCCATTCTCAGATGGGTACCCTCTGCTCTGGGAATTGCTGTCCATACAACTAGAGGATCCCAAAGTGCAGAAGAATGGCTTAGATCCCACTTATTTTAATGATTATATCCTCTCATATAAATCTTTTGGTCTCTTAGATATCATCAACAACAACAACAACAAAAAAACAAAACCCAAAAAGGAAGCCACTTCTAAGTCTGATTAAGTCTGGATAAAACCCTAGTTTTAATTTTCTAATTGTTTTAAAAATGGTAGCTTTGGAAGCAATTTTCAGCTGGTTGGGGAAATGCAGAGCTTATTTCTGTAAAGAAAGGGACACTTTAAACATTATTTCCATCCAATATATCTGACTACCATCCTTAAATTCTCAGCCCTGGTTTAAAAAACAACAGTCCTGCTATGTTATCTTGCCAACTTTGGTTGATCTCAAAAAAGCAAGCAGACCTAGTTAGGAAAATCAGGAAAATTCAGGGGTGTAGGCTAGATTGGGAAACTCAAGAAGGAAAACCTTCCTTAAAAAGGCAATGATATATTCATGCAGTCCCCATTCATTGATTTGAGGGAATATCTTCCTTTGCTATGGCTTCATCTCTCCTGCTTGTAAGAAAAACTGTGTTGTGCTGTATTTCACTATGTTTCCTGAGAACAGTGTTTCTCAATGTTGGCCACTTTAAGATGTGTGGACTTCACCTCCCAGAATTCCCCAGCCAGCAGTGCTG